GGAAAAAACAGAAATGGGAAAAGATTTTGATAAGACCAAGGAAGGGTGAAAGCTACAAATGAAGTCTGGGAAAAGAGGTGTGAGCAGAGAAGTTGATGAGTATATAAAAGGCCCTAGAGAATCAGGACAGAGTAACACGTAGCTATCTACGTTTACATAAGTTTGGGGGTTTTTTGATTCAGAGCAGTAGCATGGTTTTGAACAGCCCCTGCTTACTGCACGTTGATTTGGTTTGAACGTTGACTAAGCTTATAGGGTACATCTTTGGTGGTGTTTTTTTTTTTTTTCTCCCCCCTTTGGGAATGTTTTTCTGAAAAAAGAATGAAATAAGCAACTATTTTATTTTATCCTTCTGTTACGCCTGTGAGCGCTCACAAAGGCGGTGGTGGTATCTGTCTGTCAGTATTGCATTGACTTGTTCATCTTTTACTTGAAAGATTTAGTTTATGGTGGTAGCAGCTTGAAGCATTTAAACTAGGCAAGAGTTGCTGATTTTAGTTCATTGTACCTTAATCCCACTTGCAGAGAATATTTTGCTTGTCGCTTATGAATCGATCTTTTGACCTTTGCATATATTACACTGCTTTAAGTGCCTAATATTATAGGCATTATAAATAGTAAATATGTGAAAGTTGAAATTATATAAATCTATTTTCTTGTGAGGGTTCTGGTCTCGTGGCCTCTGACTTGTGTAAAGCAACACTTCAGAAAACTGAATGGAGGATCTGTAAGTGTTTTCTCCACAGTACATTCATACATATATAGGAACTGTATTACAAATTAGTCGATGGGAGTCTGGTGGTTATTCATCAAGTGCTTTTGCTGTTGATTAAAAAAACAACTATTTGCTAAAAAAATAAAATAAAATACTTGTTAGAATGCATAAAGAATTTAATCAGGATTAAGCTAACTATATTCTTATTAGAATTTAGCTGTTCAGCTTTTTAATTTAAACTACTTAACAAGCCAGACTTCAAAAAGGATGAAAACTACATTCCGTTTTCCTGAATGTCTAAAGTAGCTATATCCACAGTTTAACTACTTTAGACTTTTTGGAGAACTTCAAGGGCTTTAGTCTTACTAAAGAACATTTGCATAAATCAGTATTGAAGAAAGAGAGCTTAAACAAAATGGAGGCACAATGCTAATACTAATTATCAGTCAGGATCAGAAATTGATTTTGCCACATAACACAAGCCAGAGAAATGTGATCTTTGACCAGAAAGTGGGTTGAGACTTTGTGTGAATGTGTCCTTGTGAACACAACTGCAAAAGCAATATCTAATTTAAGGCAGATTTATGCAATTGCCAGTACTTATCTTTTACTTTTGGTGCATTTTTCTTTCTTTCTCCTTTCAAACCAGCAGAACTCAACCTGGTTCTTTACGTTTTTTGCCCAGTGTTGTGAGAAGAAAAAAACAAACTGGTAATCCAAAGCCACCTGGGTGAAAGTTCATATAACAAGGGAGAATTGGGAAAGCAAGAGAAAAAATATTTCTTGAAGTTCTCATTAGTATGCTAAGATGAAAAAAGCTGAGTTTCAGAACCTAGAGATTTCTTTTCTAGCCACCTGTCAAAACATGCAGTTCTCCTTTTCTCATAAACTAAGACAGCTACTTTGCATGCATGGTAAACTGAATGTCTGAATATCCTGTACAAGAATATTTAAGGCTCTGACTCCTGGAGTCACTGGCTTGAGAATGTCCTGCGT